CAGGGGGCCAGGGGCACAGTTTGAGCACCAAGAATTCCCCTGTCAAAAAACCAGGTGCGAGCGTCGAGGTGCACACTTTGATGGAGAAGAAACAGTATGCACCAGTGAGGGGGGATAAACAATAATCATTCTTCAGAAGTGAGAGTTTAACAACAGCAACAACAATAGCAAGGACACCACCAACAACAACAACGGCAACATCAACACCACCACCAACAACACAGGCAACACCAACAGCAACACCACCAACAACAACAGCAACAGCAACACCGACACCAGCAACAACAACAATCACAACCACAACCACAACCACACCAACACCAACAACAACAGCAGCACCAACAGCACCAACAAGAACACTCATGTTAGGATTGCTCGCTCCTATCTGCTCTCGTGCATTTGAACACGTAGATCCAGAACCCTCTATACCCGCCCTCTTCGTCTTCGATCGGAACCCCTTCGAGTCGACCTTCCTTACCTGCAACGTGTATTTCGTGCAGCCCTGCATGATAATAAAGGACGCATGGAAGGAAGGGGCACAGGGAACGTAGGCGGATGGAGCACGGGAGAGAGAGCAGCAGAAGGAGGGTGAGGAACAGAAAACATGTGGCAGAACCAGACGGGCAGACCGTGTGGATAGACCCTAACGGGCGGGTCGGGAAGGTGGGCCCAGGCGGCCAGGTCGAGCTGGCGGGTTGCTGAAGCGTGCGCCCTGCATGAATCGCGAGAGCGTCCCGAGCGATAGCGCGATTCCCCCGTAATTCGTGAGGTAATCCGCTGCGAAAGCGTGATTCCTGAGTGCCGAGAGCGCGGCGTCCGAATAAATTGCGAGGACGTCCCACGCGAAAGCACGAATCCTGCGAAAATTGAAAGGACAGCCAGCACGAGAGCGCGATTTGGGAATACATTGAGGAAGTATCAAGCGGGAGCCGCTGTTGTTGTGACCTGGAAGGCCGCTGTGGTGTGGGGCGTCTGCGGGTTGGGGCCTCTGTAAGCTGAGGCCTCTGTGGGCGCGCTTGGGGCCTCTGTGGGCTGCGCCGGGGGTCCTCTGTGGGCTGGGGGCTCTGTGGGCTGCCGGGGGCCTCAGTGGGCTGAGTCGCGCTTGGGCCTTGTGGGCGCGCTTGGGACCTCCATGGGCTGGAGCCTCTGCGGGCGCGTGCGGGGGCCTCTGTGGGCAGCGAGCTGGGGCCTCTGTGGGCGCGCTTGGAGCCTCTGTGGGCTGAAGCCTCTGTGGGTGCGCTTGGGGCCTGTGTGGGCTGTGTTGGGGGGGCCTCAGTGGGCAGCGCGCGGGGTCCTCCGTGGGCACGCTTGGGGCCTCTGTGGGCTGGGACCTCTGTGGGCGCGTGCGGGGGCCTCAGTGGCCTGCGTCGGGGGGCCTCAGTGGGCAGCGCGCTGGGGCCTCCGTGGGCGCGCTTGGGGCTTCTGTGGGCTGGGCCTGGGGCCTCCTTGGGCGGTGTCGAAAGCCTCAGTGGGCAGCGCGCTGGGGCCTTTGTTGGCGCGCTTGGCTGAGGGCTCTGCGGGCGCGCTTGGGGCCTCTGTGGGCTGTGTTCGGGGGGGCCTCAATGGGCAGCGCGCCAGGGCCTCCGTGGGCACGCTTGAGGCTTCTGTGGGCTGGGGCCTCTGTGGGCGCGCTTGGGGTCTCTGTGGGCTGCGCCGGGGGGCCTCAGTGGGCGGCGCTCGGGGGCCTCCGTGGGTGCGCTTGGGGCTTCTATGGGCTGGGGCCTATGTGATGTGCCGGGGGCCTCAGTAGGCAGCGCGCTGGGGCCTGTGGGCGCGCTTGGGGCCTCCCTCTGTGTGCTGAGGCCTCTGTGGGCGCACTTGGGGCCTCTGTGGGCTGCGCGGGGGAGGCTCAATGGGCAGCGCGCGGGGTCCTCCGTGGGCACGCTTGGGGCCTCTGTGGGCTGGGGCCTCTGCGGGCGCGTGCGGGGGCCTCAGTGGCCTGCGTCGGGGGGCCTCAGTGGGCAGCGCACGGGGGCCTCCGTGGGTGCGCTTGGGGCTTTTGTGGGCTGGGGCCCGTGGGCTGTGTCGCGGGCCTCAGTGGGCGCGCTTGGGGTCTCTGTGGGCGCACTTGGGGCCTCTGTGGGCCAGGGCTTATGTGGGCGCGCTTGGGGCCTCTGTGAGCTGTGTTAGGGGGCCTCTGTGGGCGCGCTTGGGGCCTCTGTTGGCTTGGGGGGTGCCTCCGTGGGCAGCGTGCTGGAGCCTTTGTGGGCGCGCTTGGGGTCTCTATGGGCTGTGTCGGGGGGCCTGCGTGCAGCGTGTCACGGCCTGTGTGGGCTAACTCTGGGCCTCTGTGAGCTGCGTTTGTGGGCATCAGTGGGCAGCGCGCCGGGGCCTCTGCGGGCGCGTTTGGGGCTTTTTTCGGCTGGGGCCTCTGTGGGCGCCCTGGGGCCTTTGCGGGCCTTGAGCGAGGGCCGCGGTGGGCAGCGTGCTGGAGCCTGTGTGGGCGCGCGGGGGCCTCTGAGGGCTGTGTCCGAGGGCCTGAGTGGGCAGCGTGCTGTGGGCCCCTGTGGGCGCGCGTTGAACTTCTGTGGGCTGTGGGCGCGTCAAGCGAGAGCCCCTGTCGTCGCAGGTGGGCCTCCAGCGCCGCTAATGAATTGCAGTCTCTGGCCAGGGGGTCTCGAAGTACAGTTTGAGGAAGTATGGAACGGTAGCCCTTGTCGTCGTGGCTGGGCCTCCACCACCATGGCGGAATTGCAGGAAAGTCTCGAGCGAGAGCGCCGTTCCTGAGTTCGAGAGCCTCTCTGGCCAGGCCTCTCGGACTACATCTTGAGAAGTATCGAGCGGGAACCTTTGTCGCCGTGTCTGGGCCGCCACCAACTTGTTCCAATTACGAGAAAATCTCGAGCGAGAGCGCCGTTCGCGAGATCGGGGGTCTCCCTGGCCAGGGACTCTCGGAGAAAAACCGTGAGGGAGAATCGGACGGCAGCCTTTGTCGTCGTGGCTGGGCCTCCGCCAACTTCACTGAATTGAGCGGAAGTCTCAAGCGAGAGCGCTGCTCCTGAGTTCGAAGGCCTCTCTGGCCAGGGTGTCTCGAGGTATACTGTAAGGAAGTATCTAGCGGGAGCACTTGTCGTCGTGGCTGGGCCTCCACTTACTTGACTAAATTGCGAGGACGTCTCAAGCGAGAGCGCCGCTCCTGAGTTCCGGGCCCTGTCTGGCCAGGGTGTCTCGGGGTAAAATTGTGAGGCAGTATTGAGCAGGAGCCGCTGTTGCTGTAGCAGGGCCTGCAACAACACACATACAATCAAGCCAACGCTCGAACGGGAGCCCCGCTTTCAGAGAAAATGTAGCCGGCGTCTAGGCGAGAGCGCGCGAAACCGTTTCCGGAGATCAGCAATACTTGTTCTCTGGAAAGGAATATTGCACAACATCAACAACACCACCAACAGCAACGATAACAACACCAACAAGAAAAAACAAAAACCACAAACACAACACCAACAACAAAAAACACGACGACGACGACGACGACGACAACGGCAGCAACAACAACCGCAGCAACAGCACCAACACCACCAACAACACCAACACCACCAACAACACCAACAGCAACAGCAACAGCAACAGCAGCAGCAGCAGCAGCAGCAACAACAACAACAACAACCGCAACAACAACAACAACACCAAAACCACCACCAATACCACCACCAATACCACCAACAACAACACCAACAACAACAACAACAACAACAAATATACCTCAAGGTGCCTAGGATGAGAAACCAAAAGGCCGGCCGCGCTCGAGGACAACGGGAAGGAGAGGGGAAAGAAAGGGAATGAGGGGGACACGGAGAGGATCGACGTGCCCAACCCAAGACCCTGTGCTCCTGCGCCTCGCGGGCGCGGCGTGGAGGAGAAGGGAGGGGGTGCCCACACCCGCTCTTGCCACCGCACGGGCGCACATTCCCCCGTGCATCCGTTCGATCTCGTGCATGCGCTTGCTGCCCGACGATCCAGGATGCTCCTCGACGGCCCTGGCCGAGAATTTGGACGCCCGCTGCTGGGCAGGCGGCCTTCTGCCTGAAATGGACACGGGCCGCGGCGGCGCGGACAGCGAGTCCTGTTCAGAATGGGCAGGGAATGCTGTTGGGCATTGTACCCGCTCTTTCCGTACCCATGTCGGCCGTCCCGAGAGAAGAGCGCGCACGCCCGCGCGATGCCGAGTGATCCTCCTTCTCCTCCTCCTTCTCCTCCTTCTCGTCCAGGTGCTCCTCCCTTCTCCCTCCTCGCCACTGGCGGCCCGAGACTGGGAGGGGCTTGCCGGCGGGCGGCCCGCGGGGCCCGACGCCGGTCCGGGCCCGTGCGCGACCCGGGGAGCATCGGGGCCTCGAGGAGCTCGAGGCAGGGCCGGGAGCCGAGCAGGGGCCGGGGACCAGAAGGGAGAGTCGAGGGCATCGAGAGGGGGCACCGAGGTCCGAGGAGGGGCCGAGGGATGAGCGAGGGAGGATCGAGGTCCGGCGGAGGAGGCGCCGTCGAGAGCCGCAGCGCCGTCCGGGGGGCCCCAGCAGTGGGGGGGCCCGAGGCTGGAGCAACCTGCGCAAAGAACGGTTTTGGTAGTATTCTGCGGGGCTGGAAATGACAGTGGAGGGGGGGCAGAAGGATTGGGGAAGCAGATCGAGATCGAGGGAGGATCGAGGAGGCAGAGAGGATCGAGGTCTGAGGAAGGACCTATCGACCTCGTCTTCTGCTCCTCCCGCTCCCCTGGCTCTCCCTGTTCCTCCCCTGCGCGCGCTGGACGACCTCATCAGATTCCCCTCCCCCTCCCCCCGCCTGCTCGTCCTACTGGTGCCCCTCCCCCTCCTCAAGCTTCTCTTCGTCCTGCTTCTGCCAATGCCCCCTCCTCGGTGCAGCTCCTCCTCCTCCTCCTCCTCCTCCTCCTCCTCCTCCTCCTCCTCCTCCTCCTCCTCCTCCTCCTCCTCCTCCCACTCCTCCTCCTCCGAAGGGAAGACGAAGGCGAAGGCACGTGGCCGCTGCATGGGCGTGCGGCGGGGGGTGGGTGCCCATGGCCGCCCCGAGCTTCATCGTGACGATCACGTCCATCTTGCCCGTGTCCCTCAGCTTCCGGATCCACTCCTGGCAGGGGTTCGCTACGGAGAGACTGGCTCAGGACTGGAATACATGGACTCGAATCGGCGGTACATCGCTGACAAAACGGCGATAGGCCCCTCATAGCGAAACCGCACGTTCCTGGCGGGGTGGGGGCCCATGCCCCGATTGACGATGAGCAGGCGATTGGGGGTTGATGGTTCCACTCCTGGGCAAATCCCCCCTTGACGTTGCCCCTGACCTCCCGTCGAGGGGCGAGGGAGGGCCGGCTGAGTCAACATGGAATCGTGAGAATCGGACTGTGCGTCGCATCGGGCAGTACCAGCAAGGCGCCGGAATCAGATCTGATCGGCTGCGCCAAGATTCGCGACACCGCCAGGCAAGCATCGGGCGTCATCGGATTGTAGGATCTCTGTAATCGAATCGGATCGGACTGGCCAGGATTGATACGGACGACTAGATTGACATTGACCCTGGAACGAGACACAACACAAGCCTTTCTGGCATCTCTGTGCTAGACCCGTTGGGGATAGATGCACATTTTCCGCCTCTGGGAATGTGACACCGCAATCGCAATTACCACTGAGACGGGCTATGTCGCCGCGACTTGCCGACCTGCGAAGAGATGGCGCATGGAGAAGACAACCACCTCGAGGCGACATACATTGTGGCAGCCGAATCTGTTTTAGATCGACGTGGCAGGATACACCAAGGAGGCTGCACCACACCGGGGCCGAGCAGCCGCCGATGGACACGAATTATCTGTCCTTTCTTCTCCTGTCCTGTCTGCGGGACCTCGAACCCAAATCTTCTCGATTTTGTTTTGCTCCCCGAGGGGAGCCCGACCGGGCCTCCCTGGAAGAAGCGGCAGCGTTCGACGAACTCCATTGCCATCAGTGTCTCCGTGCCTCAGGAGGAGGAGGAGGAGGACCAGTGTAAACCCAAGAGTCATCAACGATGTTGGAATTCACCCTCCCTCCAGGCTCCCTCTTCACAGGTCCCTACAACGGTTCATTTCCATAGAGGGAACGGCCTCGTTGAAAGACGACAAATTGAAGACCCTGAAGCATGCCAAAACATTGTTCTCGGGATTCCAACGCCACGGATCAATCTGACTGCTGCGTCGTGGCGATCTGGAATCGTGCCAGAACGCCATTTTTGGGACCTCGACACCGCGAATCAACATAACTGTTGCACCTGCATTATCTTGAATCCTTCCAAAACACCATTCCTGGCCAGTTGATCACTGGAATCCATGAAACGCTTGCATTTTGTTAAAACGAATGTGCGCGGCGCAGAGGCGAAAACCACATTTTGAAAACGACCCGCCCTCAATCGGTGCAATTCTTGCAAATATTTACAACAAATGTGCGCGACGTTGAAGCGATAACAACATTTTGAAAACGACCTAGCCTCAATCCGTGAAACTTGTGCGAATGTGTAAAACGAATGTGCGCGGCGATAAAGCCAGAACCACATTTTGAAAACGACCCGCCCTCAATCCGTGAAACTCTTGCGAATTTCTACAACGAATGTGCGCGGCGCTAATGCGAGAACCACATGTTGAAAACGACCCGCCCTCAATCCGTGGAATGTTTGCAAATGTTTACAACGAGTGCGCGCGGCGCTAAGGCGAGAACCACATTTTGAAAGCGACCCGCCCTCGACCCGTGAAACTCTTCTGCATTGTTTAAAAACGAATGTGCGCGGCGCTCGAGCGAGAGCCACATTTTGAAAACCACCCGCCCTCCATTTGTGAAAATGTTGCCACTTTAAGCTTCAGAATCATAAGTGGTGAGGAAGTCTCAGACGAAACGCCGGGCACGCACTAAAAACTTGCCTCGGGGTGCGACAGGGAGAAGTTACTTATAAGGACAAGGAATGAGAAGGAGGAGGAGGAGGAGGAGGAGGAGGAGGAGGAGAAGCGGGGGGAGGAGAAAAAAGAGCAGGACGACGACCAGGAGGGCGAGACTGCGCATGCCCGCTGGCGGTTGGCGGCGAGATTGCAGCTAGAAGAGCGCGAGGACTAGACGGAAATGGTGGACTAGATGCGCTTCACACGCAGGCAGCCCGACACGCAACTGCCACGGGTGAGTCGCTCGAGTGCGCCATCTTTTAGCGCGACTGGGCCAAAGTCTCTTGCCGGGGCGCCAACGATCACTCGGCGCCGGGCGCGGGGGGCCCAGGTCGGGTTGCGAATCCGCAGAGATTCTGTGGAGGTGGGGGAAGGCCAGGACGGTCGCGGAGGTGGGACTGCTGGCGGGCGAGACACACTGTAGCCGCTGCCAGGGTCGAGACGCCTCACAGGCGCAGCGAGCGAAAAGAGGAAGACGGGCGAGGGGGAGGCGAGGGAGGGGCGGCGGAAGAGGCGGCACCTTCATCGCCGCATCGCTCTCGGCGGCGAGGCGGATGACGTCCCTTTCCTGGTCGTCCTCGTCCCGCTTGATCTGGATCTCGAAAGCGTTGGCCTTGGCGGCTTTGCCCTTGACCTCGCTCGGGCGGGGAGCCCTCCTCCGTACCTGCAGCTGCGTGCCATCGCCCTCCTGCTCATCCCTCCGCTGCTGATGCGGCTTCCCCTCCCCTTCCTCACCCCTGCTCCGGCAGACATCCTCCGTCTCGTTCATCCCTCCTCCATCTGCAACTCCTGCTAACCTCTCCTCCCTCCTCTTCCTCCTCCTCCTCCTCCTCCTGATGGTGAATGGAGGGGGTGCGCTACTATGGAGCCCATACGTGGACGTGCACGCCAAGCTAGGTACACGAGTGTGCCGCCCAGGTCGTCATGGGGTCACCCTCGCATTCGCGTGCGCCCGCAGCAATGCGCTCTGTCGAACCCACCTTTGAGCTCAAAAACGCGAACAGTCAAAACGTATATTACGGACGGGCGGAAAGGACGCAAGACCGTTGCAGGCCCAAGTTGGGATATTTCGGGCGGCGGGCGACCAGTGAAACAGCAAAGGACGGGCAACAGAGGCAAAGACACCCTAGATAAAGGCCAAAAGAAACATCCCGGCTCAGTAAGCATCCCGGCTCACATCCGATACCCTTACACCACTGTCCCTCACATCCATCCGACCGTCGCCCTATCGTATGTTTCCCTCTTCTCTGCTCACTGCGCTGGGACAGTTGGGAAAATGCCAAGAAAGTTCGAGGGTGCCTGGAACGGCCCTGGGCGCAGAGAGGGTTGCTCCCAATGCACAGGTGGAGACGCACATCATTGCGTCTCTGGAGGGCCACGAGGACAAGCCGCTCCGCTTGAAGAGCCCGTTGAGCAGCCCATTAAATGACGGAAGGGGCCACGAGCGAGCCGCAGGCCAGTGGAGGTGCTCGTCAATTTCACTTCGATGACCTCGAACGCCACTGGGGGTTTCTCCCACTCCCGTCACGATGAACGGCATCTCAAAGCTCCTGAACGACACCTTAGACGAGAAAATGAGTGCACAAATGGCCCCGTTGTCTTTGAACGTATTTCGTCTCGAGGGGAAGTACGGTGAGCAACCCAGCGACATTGAAATGCAAGCACGTGAAGTAGACGAAAGGTTAAACGACATGCATCATAAGATCGATGATCACATTGCCACCATCAAAGAGGATATTGCTTCGTTGCGAGGGGCTCTTGGTTCCTCTTCTGGGGGTCCGCTCAGACGACCACCCGGGCAGCATCAAGTCCAACAATATCAATTGGTGGTTTGAGCAAGTTTGCCGATGAGGAAGTGGCCAGGGAATGGTTGGGGAATGAATGTTGGACCGCATGCATCAACGAGCCACTGGATACATATATATAGATATATATACACACATACATACATATGCCAATGGTCAGTTGTTTGCGAAATGTGGAACTCAAGTGGAGGCCGAATCCATCACAAAGAAAATCAAAGAGGCCGACCAGAAGCACGATGGAGGGGAAGTATACGCCAACTTGGAATTCCCCGCCAGCGTGCGTGGTCTCCGGAGCGTCATGTACACCGGCGAAGACGTTCTCATTGACGGCGAGTGGGACCAAAACAGCTGTGGACCGATATCGATACCTATAAATTGTGGTGTGGAGCCGACGTGGTTCAGTGTGGTTCTCAGAAGGGTTGCGCGAGTGTTTCCAGGACGCGCCAAAACGGGATGCCACGGTCGCTGCTTCCAATGGGAAGCTCTGAGACAGCAAGGCTCCCACGGAAGGCCTTGGCAAGAGTAAGTCCAAAGGCGAAACGACGGGCCACTCCTCGAGCGCTTCTGCAGGCGCCGGCTACTAGGGACAACTCCAGCCAGACACATGTTTAACCTTCGACTCCGGCAAACCTTCTCTTGTCATAGTGGCAAAAGACGCCCGTATTGAGACAGATGAGAGATCGCAGTAGGTAGCTTACACAAGCAGCAAAGCCCACGATGCCACGGGCGCTGGTGTTCTCGTCCTCCACAGACACGATGGCGAACACGTACCTGTTGACGTCAACGACGGGGTCATGCACGTCGATTTAGAACTACACGGAAAAGCGTGCCCTAGGTTGACAAAAAGTGTCATAATTATAAAAACTCTAAGGTCCGCGCTGATTTCTCGGATCGGCGCTGGGACCCCCTGGCGGGGCCTCCGGCGCCGACCCTGGCGCGCTCCGCGCGCCAGGGAGGGGGGTCCAGCGCCGATCTGAGAAATCCGCGCGGACCTCCGAGTTTTTATGTTTCTGTCACTTTTCGTTCCCCCATACCCCGCCACAGTCGTGGACGCAATCTACGAGCAGTTGTCCGCCTGCTGCCGGGCAGCGCGAATTGGCAGCGTCGGAGGCAGTTTCCCAGCAGAGCTGCACGAACCAGTTCGGGGGGCTTCGCTGCTCGATGTTGCCTCGATGGCAAAACTGCCATTTAGTAAAAACTCTGGGGGCTGGACGTTTTGACGCCATCTGAATAGATACCGCCTTATCGACTACATCCTCATCGGGTCGCGTGCCAGATGCATTGCGAATGACAGCACAAATCTTCTAGACTTTGGCTCGGACCATCGTGCCGTATCCGCTGCGATAGAGCTCAACATTGCAAGACACTGGACAAGCAAACAGCACAACTCTCGACGTAAATGATCTGATGTGTCTGGCCAGGACACTCGGCGATACGCAGAGTCAGTGGACAGCTGGGCCTCGCGGCATACTGTTCACAATTTCGCGGATACCGAGAATGCCATCGGTTGTTCCGCGGGTGAATACTTGCAAACGCAGACGGCTACGACCCAAAGCCCCTGGAATTCAGATGTTGTCCTACAGGCGAAGAACGACAGGGATCAGGCGAGAGACCCTTTCAAGAGGAAGGCCTTGCATTGGCGCTGGAAGCGGGTTTTTCTGAAAGAGATCCTGGCTTGGAAAAACTGGCAAACCTCGAACCTTTTGTCTGGGCTTCAAAGACTATACGCTTGGGCGTTGTATGTCACGTTCTGGCTGAGCGGGACATTCCTGCCAAGCGGCCAAGCGACGGGAAGTTCGCGCGAGTTCCAGCTGAAGTGCGCTCGAACGAGACGCGGGCTGAGAGACCGCGGCCGCGAATTGATATCCGAGACGATCCCCCGTTCAGCACGGCAGAACTCAGGGCGGCTTTGAGAAAGCTGGCGTGCAACAAGGCCGCGGACTCCGAGGGGATTGCGTTCAAGCACATGTTTCATTTACCTCTGCGAGCAAAGAAGCTCATTCTTCAGCAATACAACGAATGTCTGAACGTTCCCGAAAAAGTGGCTGCATACTACTTTCAAAAGGCTGCCCAAGCTGGGAGACGCGTCGAAAGCTCCAAAACGGCGCCTCATCGCAGTGCAACGGCAATTATGCAAGAGTCTGGCCAACATGACTTCGTCGAGGATTTCGCCGAGGCTCGAAGAAGCGCAAGGGAAATATTCATGTGCGTACCAGCCTGGCTTAGGCGCCGACGAGGCCCTGAACTGCGTGGAGCACATGGCGGGATTCGCCCACGCTTTCAAGCAGGACCTTGGGATCGTGAGCCTGGACACCACCAAGGCGTTCGATAAAGTCTTCCACGAATCTGTGATCGAAGCCATGCTGCAGCAAGGTGTAGATGAAGCGCACGCTTCCTTGTTGCAGGGCCTGTATTACTGGGGACGGACGGGCCAAGTTGGCACGAGCGACGTCTTCCACCTCTTCCAAGGCACTCGCCAAGGTGACGTCTTGAGTCCGTGCTGCTTCAACTCAGTACTGGAGATGGTCTTCAGTCTCTAGCAGGTGGAAAGGGCCGCCTCACAACGCACGGGTGGGAATTCCCAGGACAGGCAGAACGCCTCAAGAACATTCGATTTGCAGACGATGTTTTGCTGTATGCCCGCTCTCTGGAGAACCCCCAACAAATGCTCTCGCTCTTAATTAAAGAATTCCAAGCCTCCGGAGGCGTTTGCGCGCCACCCGGCACTTGCAAACTTGAACGGGTTGTTGGCCGCTGTTTCCATGTGCTGTCATTGGACGAACGAATCTCATACGTATTTGGGGAGAGCCCTCAATTTGTCAAATACTAGGGCAACAGTTGCCGCCAACAGGAGGAGATCAGCAGCATGGCACACATTCCAGAAGAAACGCACCATTCTTCTGAGTCAGCATATCGGCGCCGACCACTGCATCAAGCTCTTTAGCTCCACGGTCTTGCCAGTCCTGCTGTACGGATTGACCAGCCTGGCGCTGAAGCCGCAGCACCACGCCATTGTCGGGGGCGCGTGTCGGATATGCTCATGCTGTCCACGACAGGCTCTCCAAACGTGTCGGAGCGGAATTTCTCTTTGAGGTGGCGGCTGGCTCGCCGCCTCTTTTGCGGAGGGATTGAGAAATGGGCGCCCGTTTTTCGAAATCTGCAATCTGCTCACCAGCGAGCGCGAGGCAGACCACCGCTGCAGTGGATAGAAGACCTCGAACAACTCTGCGCGCATGCCGGCGCAAATTATTTGGTAGAGGCGCTGCAAACGGCGGGCAAGGAGGAACAGTACATCGAGTTCTGCATGATGAAGGTGTGATGCCCGTCCCTTGTCCCCTACTTGTCCCCCTCCCTCCCTCCCTTTCCCACCCCTCATTTGAATTTTCCGAATTCCCAATTCCATATTCTGTGCATGTTTCACATATTTGTTGTCTGGCTGGTAGACCGATTGCTCACCCATGCCCTGCACGGGGCCGAGCAGCCGTCAAACATGCTCGCGTGGCTCGCTTGCTCGTGCTTACTCGGCGCGTTGACTGCACGTCTTTGCATGGCTGCTGCAGCGCACCGCGCAGCACCCAAGGACGTCCCCGACTGCAGCTTGGGCGGGCGGGGGGCTGCCCGCCGCGATGGCCGAGCAGCCCGCCTGAAGGCGGCGTTCTCCAGGGCCCAGGGCCTCGAGTGCAGAGCACAAAGTCCTTAGCGGGCCCTGGAAACGACAGGGCAGTCTTTACACTGGTTCCGTTGTGTCGTTTTTGGTTCTGTCGCCATTATGTTGCCGGTTCCTGTCGCCGTTGTTGTGACCGCTCCCATTTTCAAGAAACGCTGTTTC